ACAAAAGATGTATTTATTTTTTTAATCAATACTTTTGTTGTTGCTGAAAATCGAAAACTTTCAAATCTTTTGTTGTTCTGAGCCCGGAGCGGCAAGAAAGTGTTGATTCGTTTGTATCTCCATGAATTACATCACAAGAAAACGTTTACGCAGTTCAGGTATATATAACCTATACTATTTAAGCCTATTTATACCTAGTGTTTGACCTTAGGCAAAACAGCATAAGCATGTTTAGGCTTAGATTCGAAAAACCCTTATCTTCTAAAAAAACTCAAAATAATATAAAATTTTCATCAAAATAACCACCGTTGATTTATATTTTTGATATTTATACTTTTTTGATAAAATAACCCAAATTGGAAAAAGTCAGATAAAACAAAAAAAAATTTCTAAATCAAATGGCAACTTTGTTATTGGAGAGCATAATTTACATTCTATTTGGCAAATAAACTTTCAGTAAACCAGGTAGACCCACGACTTAAAACCAGGCTTCACGTCTGCAATTAAAACTTATACGCACAAATTAGGATAGATATATTGGCTAAATTTGATCATGTCGAACTGAGCTAGTGATTTTCTGTAAGTTGAGATTGTTGAAAATATTGAAAAATTTTGTATGAACGCTTTTGAAGCAAACTTGATCAAATTTCAGCAACTTACTTTCAATTAATTCCCTTCTATCAGTGAGTTTATTGGTAAATTTGAATCATATTTATGCACAAAATGAACCAGAGAATACCGATTTTGATCCGCAGAAAACAAGTATGGTGTTGGATAATCTTGTAATTGTTGACTAACCCTAACTTCTGATCTGAAACTCTCAGGGAAAAAATTAGTCTCTAAAACAAGATACGTTGAAAAGTAGATCACGTTGCAATTATCATTGCATGAGGAGAACTTCTAGCAATTAATCTTAGAGCAAGTCTTCAAAACCTGTTGCTATTTTTCAAGAACAAAGTGAATTTTAGAATTTCTCCAAATTTGAAACCAAATTTTGAAGTTTAAAATAATGCAGATTCTCATTGGTTTTTGAACAATGAATGAGTCAGCTACACATATATATTACTGACTTATTTGAACAAATCGGAGAAAGGAAACTTGGAATCTTGCATCATTCCATATGGATCAACTGTTGTTGCCCAAACCATCTTATAGGTGAACACGAAACAAACGGAAATGCACTTTGCTTTCATACAACCTAGAACGAAGATAATTTCGCTTTACTTATTTTGAAAAATTATTAAAAGTGAAAAAAAACACGCCGAAGGTTATTTATTCACTTACAATTTAAAAAATTACCAAAAATCTGGACTTTTGCAAAAACCCTATCCGCTCTTCCTGGTTTCAATTATATTAATAAACAGACGCACAAAACATCTTTTTAGGCTATTAAAACTAGTTGATAACTCTTGAGCAACACGACCCAATCAAAAAAAATATTCGTAATTTCGACAAAAAAATGTGCTGAAAATGGATTGGTTCGATTCAGAATGCAAAGAAAACTTCAAAATAAAAGAAGAATCACTTCTAGCGTATCAAATTTAAATTTCAAACGACGGTACGTAAAAACTGACTTTGACTTTGTTAAGAGACGAAAAAGAAAAAAAAATCGAATTGATGCTTTTCATTTCACAGCCTAATACAGCAAAAATGGAGATATATATTTTTTTAAAAATTGAGGTTTCGGTTGCATCAATTCCAGAATCAAAGCTCTGCTTAATTTATTTTAAAGAAATGGTAGCCCAGGACATCAAAATTGCATATTCATACATTTATGTAGAAATTTGGGGGGGGGTTGGCTCCGTTAAACCTCAATGTTATAACCCAGGTACTTTTCTATCACCAAATTTTATTTTTCAGCATATAACAGTGATATATCAGAACTAAATACTAACTAAAACTAAATATCAGAAAACCTCTTAGTTTTGCACTATTACTGTTCGGGCAATAATCAATAGACAATCAGATATTGCGCCAGATTTAACGTTTGTTATTAATGCCTGCATAGATGAGAAAATAACCCCCCCTGAATTGAAAAAATCAAAAATAACGCCATGCTTTAAAAAACTGACCGAAAATAATCTCAAAACTATTGATGCATTAAGCAATTATTCGGAGACTTTGAACTAATCTTTTTACACTTTATTGTATTGATGCAAAGTCCTATCTTACATGAATTGAAGTGTTGTATCTTCTTCTTCTGTAATTGGTACTAGCAATGGCAGAAAATGTAACCAATCGAAGATTGGAAAAGAGTTATGAACGCAATTAACATTAAAAAAACACTGACTTTCTTGAAAAAATCTCAACTTTCGAGTTTCAAAGAAAAAAATAGATGCTCTTTGAATTTCTAGAAAAATTCATGACTGGCATTTTTTGATAACATGAACTCAACTACAAAAAACTGGATCAATAGGTAAAGTTTTTATTTCGCTGCAACTCAAAATTAAATTCCACTTTCGAAACTAAAAATCGTTCACATCTTTTTGCGCCATTTCCACGTTCGTATTTAGTTAGAGAGTGCTATTTACTTCACTTTCAGCAGATGAATTTCACTTGAACTCAAAAAGTGCATATATACATAAGTGCAATCATAAACGCATCAATATGTATGAATGCACATCTGTAGTTATTAGAGTAGTTTAAGGAGACTTTTCCTGAAAAAACAGAACAAAAATCAGCAAGACCAATATGAGAGCCTTCACAGCGCTCATTATTCTTGAAAAGTTAACCTGGAAACCATGTATCATCCGCATGCTATAGATAACTAACTTATGTTCGTGATTCAATCGATTTTCCGAAAACAGTAACAACAAGGATCTTTTTGTTTTCAACTTTCAAAGAAACAATTGAAATCAACTTTGAAAACAAAACTAATCTTTTTTGACCCCATTAACACTTTCGAAGTGAGAGAACATATAATTAAACTTTAACAGAAATTTAAAAACCTCGAAGTGCCTTTATTGCATTCATTGATACTACGGTTCTTTTCTTTCTTCCAACATCGCGCGAGCATCAACACTGTTGTGTAACGAGGGGTTTTTGAAATTAAGTAAGAAAAAAAGTCTAGTTAGTCTGTAGGTTAACTTTTAGAACAATCGCAAAACGTGAAGAACAAAAATTATTTAATTACCTGCAGGTGCGGTGAAATGGAAAAAAAGCCGATACAAAAAACTTTACTTAAGTTTCTCAAAACTTTATTTGTGCAATGACTGGTTCACAATCAGAACTAAATGTTATAACCCAGGTACTTTTCTATCACCAAATTTTATTTTTCAGCATATAACAGTGATATACTGCAAAAACTAAATATCAGAAAACCTCTTAGTTTTGCACTGTTACTGTTCGGGCAATAATCAATAGACAATCAGATATTGCGCCACAGTTAACGTTTGTTATTAATGCCTGCATAGATGAGAAAATAACCCCCCCTGAATTGAAAAAATCAAAAATAACGCCATGCTTTTAAAAACTGACCGAAAATAATCTCAAAACTATTGATGCATTAAGCAATTATTCGGAGACTTTGAACTAATCTTTTTACACTTTATTGTATTGATGCAAAGTCCTATCTTACATGAATTGAAGAGTTGTATCTTCTTCTTCTGTAATTGGTACTAGCAATGGCAGAAAATTTAAGCAATCGAAGATTGGAAAAGAGTTATGAACGCAATTAACATTAAAAAAACACTGACTTTCTTGAAAAAATCTCAACTTTCGATTTTCAAAGAAAAAAATAGATGCTCTTTGAATTTCTAGAAAAAATTCATGACTGGCATTTTTTTGATAACATGAACTCAACTACAAAAAACTGGATCAATAGGTAAAGTTTTTATTTCGCTGCAACTCAAAATTAAATTCCACTTTCGAAACTAAAAATCGTTCACGTCTTTTTGCGCCATTTCCACGTTCGTATTTAGTTAGAGAGTTCTATTTACTTCACTTTCAGCAGATGAATTTCACTTGAACTCAAAAAGTGCATATATACATAAGTGCATTCATAAACGCATCAATATGTATGAATGCACATCTGTAGTTATTAGAGTAGTTTAAGGAGACTTTTCCTGAAAAAAAAAACAGAACAAAAATCAGCAAGACCTATATGAGAGCCTTCACAGCGCTCATTACTCTTGAAAAGTTAACCTGAAAACCATGTATCATCCGCATGCTATAGACAACTAACTTATGTTCGTGATTCAATCGATTTTCCGAAAACAGTAACAACAAGGATCTTTTTGTATTCAACTTTCAAAGAAACAATTGAAATCAACTTTGAAAACAAAACTAATCTTTTTTGACCCCATTAACACTTTCGAAGTGAGAGAACATATGATTAAACTTTAACAGAAATTTAAAAAACTCGAAGTGCCTTTATTGCATTCATTGATACTACGGTTCTTTTCTTTCTTCCAACATCGCGCGAGCATCAACACTGTTGTGTAACGAGGGGTTTTTGAAATTAAGTAAGAAAAACAGTCTAGTTAGTCTGTAGGTTAACTTTCAGAACAATCGCAAAACGTGAAGAAAAAAATTATTTAATTACATGCAGGTGCGTTGAAATGGAAAAAAAGCCGATACAAAAAACTTTACTTAAGTTTCTCAAAACTTTATTTGTGCAATGACAGGTTCACAATCAGAACTAAATGCAATTTAAATAACAGTCAGCTTCGGATACTAGAAAATGAGTAGCATGCTCAATTTAGTTGATGTCAGTCCAAGGAACGCGAGAAATGGTATTTGGAAAAACTATTTTTACAGATGACAAAAGACTGTTTTTGGAGAAGGCTACAGCGCATTTTTTGGACCATGCGAAAAATTACCCAAATGATTTATATCGGGTGCTTGTTCACTTGGTTATTTTATTATTACTTGTATAAATTTTGATTGGGGCGGGGAGAGTTCACTCGGTCGATATGTCAAGAGACTGTTCACATGATCCCATTTATTTAAATAATTAAGCCAAATTTTGTTACACTTCGCCTTTCTTCATTATCACTCACGTATTTCCAGCCAAGTGTTGTCCGACAACAATCGCAGAAAATGTCACACACCGAATGCAACCCTGTTAGAAGGATTCTGTCTTCGCAAGGCCCACATGATATGTTCACCCTGTATAAACCATAATTTGAACACTTAGTAAATATCCATATACTTTATTTTGATGAAAAAACTTACACTTGGTTGAACAAGTACGCTCGGCCTTGACTTCCTTGAAAGCTCTAAACAATTAAGATAAACTTATATCTATAGAATGATTGAAATCTTTTTAAACCAGTAATCTTTTCGAAGTCAAAACACAAAAAAATCCTTGTGCGCATGCATCGGTAATAAAAATAATGAGCTAAACTAATTTCAAATACACTGCATTTTTAATAACAATGATATTAAAAACTTGAGCTAAAAACTAACATATTGACGAACATATTTGAAAAAATATGCTCGGCAACTATCTCTTAGGTTGATCAGTGAACACAAGAAAAAACGGTTTAATAATTGAATTCTGACAACTGGCACAAAGCTGATTGCAGCAAACAATTCAAAAAATGTTGTACCTTTGATATCAGGTCTTCGTGAGCAGCCAAATTAGCACGACAGTGCACACAGCTGTAGGTAATTTCAGTTTCTGGCAAGTATTCCTGAAAGGTTTTCATTGCGAAGTATGAAAAATGGAATCTACACAACAGTCTTCTCCCAGTTATCTCATAAAAATGAGTTTTCAAGGAAGCTTGAAAGAACCATAAATACTCTGAATTAATGAATAGAAAGTAACCATAACATTGCTCAGTTGGTGCCTGGAATTGAATATAAAACGCGGTCAAATTTTGATCAAACTGTCTGCGAAATAGCCAACTGGGGGATAATTGAAAAAATAGACATGCACGCAAATCGAAAATTGATCAAACTAAAAGTAAAATTTAAATTTTGATTTGAGAAATATTCAAAATCATATTTGGTGCATATTCAAAATCATCGACGTCATGGAAAATCAACTTGCAAACATTTGTGTCATGGGAAGTATGGAAGATGAGAAATACAAATTGCTCCTTCTGATATAAACTATAAGGAAATGTAAGACTTCAGCAACAAACCAGGATACCCGGTATCCGGTAAAAGTAATGTCAATTGAACAAATATGATGTTATTGGTTGTACATATTGATTATGAAACTCTTAACTAAACAAATTTAATTTACAATTTGCAAAAAAAAAAAAAAAATCAACCTTCGAGAAACATATTACAGATTAACAATTGGCATGACGTTTTTGTACCAACGAACATTGCAAGGCTTAAGTATGTTGTTGCGGTTATTCGTGCTGCATATTCAAAATCATCAACTTCATGGAAAATCAACTTGCAAACATTTGTGTCATGGGGAGTATGGAAGATAAAAACCTTCTGATAAAAACTACCAAGGATATGTTAGACTTCAGCAACAAACCATGATACCCGGTATCCGGTAAAAGTAATGTCAATTGAACAAAAACTGCTAAGAAGTAGAAGGTAGATATTTCAAGCGTACCAGGATACCCTGTATCCGGTACTAAAAATGTATATTAAGCACAAGTCACAGAAAGAAAAAAAAACAGTTTGCCGATCAGAACACCCATTATTCGAAAAATTTACAGAAACAGTTCAGAAACTATCAAGACGAGCGCTTACCAATTTAGAAGGTGTTTCTTGTGTCAACTATTAGGTTACTAACTCGATGAGTTGTTTTCGATTAATATGATGTTATTTGATGTACATATTGATTATGAAACTCTCAACTAAAAAAATTAATTTACAATTTAAAAAAAAGCAAGAACAAGAAAAAACGCCCGCGCAAGCTTTTTGACTTTGGTTTCTGCATTTTTTGCCCCCTCCCCCCACAAGTTGAATTAAGTCATGAGTCAACAACAGCAGACGGAATCTCAGCTACCAATTAATCATGAAATGATGATTGAAGCGGAGACAAAATTCACAAATGTGATAACAGCCAACATCTCGAAAAAGAAAAAATTTGCGAGCCAGGATGCTCAGTATCCGGTTGAATAAAAACTGCACAGGAACAGTTCAGAGACTACCCAGACGTTGGCCTAGATGTTTATCATTTTACAACCAGTTTCTTGAGTCAACGATAAGGATTTTAACTCGTTGAGTTGTTCTCGGAAATATGATGTTTTTGATAAGCATATTGATTTTGAAACTCTTAACTAAGTAATTTTATTTTACATTTCCAAAAAAAAGCCTTGTTTAACCTAAATAATTAATCGAGTTAAGCCTCTGCCTGGATAACCAATAAAAAAAGCTAATGTTTAACTAAAGTTTTTTTATTTGCTGATTTATAAAGTTCCCACTAACAGCTTATCATGGGTTAGTTAAGTCCTTTAAACCCAGTCAAAATCCTTTTTTACCTTTATGCTGCGTCAAGATGGGGAGAAACGAAAAAGTGCAAGCAAGGATTCTTTAAAACCTTCAGGACTGATAAATTGGATTGGATGTGATTGTTGTTTTAGATGGTATCATATCAGTTGTGTAAATATTTCTCTAAGCGACTCTAAGAAAACCAAATGGTTTCCAGGTCCTTTATGCGTTGATGTAAAATCTGTTAATAAAGCAACAATAGGTAATGATTTAGTGCTAGACAATTATTTTAATACAGCCATTTCAAAGGTCCCAGTACTCAAGAGAGTAGCAAAAGACTCGCCTGTTCCCTTGGCGAAAAGTCTGTTGGACAAATTAAATGACATCTTCTACAAGGTAGAAAATCTTACAAAATGGCTAAATTTTTTAACGTTGTTCTTGTTTTTTTTTGGAGTAACCGAAAAGAAGTGAACGCAAACAGACCACAAGCGTTGAGCTCTTGTGACATTCGACCAGAATGTGTCAAAATGCAAATTCGGATTCGGAACATCATATCATTGTAACATCTGATCGAGAAGATTGACGATTTTAGCAGATTAGAGGTCTTAATCGTTCATTTTGACGAACTCGGAAGGATTAACTTGGAGTGTCATGTTAATTTCTAAAAATTCGTTTCGAAATAAAGACACGTAACGACCTTGAGATTTTGCACCAACTGAAACGGCAAAACACAACAACAACAGTAATCTCAAGAAAAACAACAGAATTATTGGAGAAAAACAGCAAACAACAATTGTAACAATTGTGAGAAACAGATCGAGATTGGAATAGAAAACGACGATCAGACCATTCCGAATTGTAACGATTGTGCCGCTACAATCGTTACAAAGCAATTCCCGGGAACCAGAAAGGGCGTTGGGATGACGTTTCCAGCCTTCGGGTAGAAATAAAAACGTTATTTCCCCGGATTCCAGAATCCGGAGGGGTCTCGGGAGAGAACTTAAACATTATTTTAACAAATTTTTAGCTTCCTTGAGATGTCCTGAATTGACTTATAATAATCCTAATTCTTTTTCAGATTATGAGAAGCTAGGAGTTGAGGGAAAGGGTTGACCCATCTTCGATAGAGATGATGATTTTTATCTACTGAACAAAAACAATAGTAAAATAGTAAATAAGTAAAAGCCCTGTTTTTAGGAGTGACCTCGTGGTCTGGGGATACTGAGACCCAGCCATGAGTTCTCTATTTTTGTAACTAATTCAGTTAATTAGAGCGTTCTGATCGAAGCCGGAACGTTTTTTGTCGACCCGATGTTAGAAAGACAACCAAAAGAACTGACTTTGGCGGAGACGGTGATAAGCATGTAGAGCTGTGTTTAGACGCTAGCCAGTAGTTTTAGAGCCTAGCTTTATTTTCCGTCGATATGTACTTCCGGGCGAATGTTACTTGCATCTTTTTATGGCGCTACTGGGTGTTATTCTTTTTTAACAGGAAGGGTGGGGGATTAGCGGTCCCGTCATTCCCTGAGTGGTACGTGACCAAAAACATATAAAGATATGCAGAAAACCAAACAAAAAGTAGTATATTACCCAAGAAAAACAAAAAACATTAAAAAATAACCGAAAAAATCCGAAAACAGTAAAAAGTTAAAAATCAGTAGAATCCATCCCCCCAGACCAGATGTGATCCGACCCTCCCGTTTGTTGTTGTTAGATATATTGTTGTTACAGGCAATTATATCAGTCAGGATCGTTACGATCAAACTTTTGGCGCTTGTACTGTAGAGTTATGTGGTGCTTGTACTGTAGAGTTATTTGAGTATTTAAGCACGTTAATGCTAATTTGCGCTCATTACGGAAGGGTCTCGGGATTAGAGAGGAAGACTGATCTGGCAACCAGTGCAAGGAGCTACAAGAAGGGGATCAAGGACAACAACAATCGACTGTTGGGTTTCGTTAACAAAATTTGTATCCCTTTTGGTATAAAAAGTAAGATATAAATCTGTGGGGGGCTCCAACTGCAAATTTCCGAGTTAAGAAGGCCTATACTCTTCTAGTTCAATGCAAAAGACCCGATCTGAAACGTTCCAATTGAAAAAATTTGCCAAAAACAATGCTATTTGCACCCTTCACTGAACTGCGAATTTCCGAGTTAAGCACCTTAATTCGGGTGTTGAACAAATCCGGAGATGTATAATATTACTAGTATTACTAATTATACAGCCTATATTAATACTCCTATACCGTTTGTCAGTAAAAAACACAGTGAGCAGACCGGTTTTTATAGTCAAAATAGCAATAGTTTGATCCACCCCAAATCATGATTTTTGAGATATCGATATTTTTTTAAGGGAAAAATTTACACCGTAACGATACTAGTATAATAGGTAGAACCGGTTGAGTTTAGTTCAGAAGTGGTTGGAACTAATTGGGTACCAAAAACCGAATTTTCTCGAATTTTGGACAAAAGAAACGCTACAAAATAAGAAATTTTTTGAAATTTTCGAGTTAGCACAGTAAAAATTGTTGTTCGGACAACGTTTGCTAGTGAATCGACAAGTTTTGAAACCCGCTTGCCGATAATTTTCCGGGTTACAGTGAAATTGAGCTTAACGTGTTTGATTTAGTGGATTCATCAATCCGGAAGGGTCCAAATAGCATTGTTTTTGGCAAATTTTTTCAACTGGAACGTTTCGCATTGAACTAGAAGAGTAAAGGCCTTTTGAGCTCGGATCAATAATTTTAGGTCGAGAATTGGGAATTGCGAAAAAAAAGTTAGGCAATTCTATAAGAGAGAAAACTTTTGACAATGGAAAAAAGACGTTTTGGTTAATAACTTTAGAACAACTGGACAAATCAAGTTGATCATGGTACCATTAGATCAGAAGTTATGCGAGCTTACTCATAAAACCTTCAATTATTCGAAAAGTAAGTGTGAAAATTTTTTAAGGTTGTTTTTCAAGACGCTTGGTCAACCTTTCACGTTTTGTAAAAAAAAAAATTTTGGAAAGCCCTTATACCCCTACCAAAGGGTAGTAACGGTAGAATAAGGCAATTGTACGCTGTTTTAGTTAACAAGGGAGGGCTAAGGAACCCAGAAACCATAGTCGAGTCGAAACTAGGCTACTTACAAGACCCTTCACAGTTTGGTAGAATAGCAAAATAAGAGGCTTTGCTTCGATCCGGAAGGGTCTAGGGACAGAGAATACACGCTTCCTAGTTAGTTCCTACAGCATAATAGCATCGGAGAACTATCCTAAAGGGTATCGGGTGAAAAGTTTAGAAGTCCCGGAAAAGCTATTTTTACAAACCCGGAGGGCTCCCAATCCGGAAGGGTCTCAATTTTGTCAATCCGGCAGGGTCCAATTTTTTCAATCCGCAGGGGTCCTATTTTGCCAATCCGGAGCATTCCTATTTTTGCCAATCCGGAAGGGTCCTATTTTTGTCAAAACTAATAAAGACAAA